TTTTTTTTTTTTTTTTTTTTTTTTTTTTTTTTGCTTTTGTGCGTCAGCTATACGGAACTGTGATTAGCGACAAATGGCAAGTCAACAGACCAAGTTAACTGACTATTGCCCTTGCTATTACAAGTTTCGTTGTTATTTTTACTGTTCTTTTCTTCTTCTTCTTCTTCTTCTTTCATCTTGACCTTCTTCTTCGCCTTCTGTATTATGCTAATTGTATAAACAACCGTCAAAAAATAGGAGGTTAAAAAAAAAAAGGAAAAAAAAGACAAACAAAGTTCTTTATCCTACTTTTTACAATCAAATAAGCAACTTCGACTTTAGCATTGGTTGAAAAAAAAAAATCAACAATTTTGTTATTGCTGCTGTTGCTGTTGCTGCCGCTATAGTTGCCCCTATGATTTGTACATGGCTGTGATTAGTGTACAAAACTAGATCGAAGATCATTAACTGCTGATACAGAGATAGGCAGATATAATTTCTGAACCATCTGTTTTCTTTTATTTCTCTGAACTATTATGAAACAAATAATTATTTGTCGGTTATCGATAGTTTAGCTGAATTGCCAAAGGCTTTCAGCTTTCCCGTTTGCTATGTCATTAATCTGTATGAAACGACTGAATTAACTGCTAAATTGAGTTGCATAAGAATTGGTGCTCAACAGTCTGTAGATGGTGTTTGACGTTGTTACAGAACAATTTTTTGTTCTTATCCATTGCTCAGGTATTTTTGGTACTGCTGCTCAATAGGTTTATTAACTTTGCTTTATTTTAACAATGTATAAAGTTTGTTTTCGTTTTCTAATTTACAATTAAAGCTGTTTTTTTTCTTCTTTTTCTAATTTTTTTGACTATTAATAATATACTGTTTTTGTAGTATTATGCGTTAATGTCTTCTTGGGTACTGGTAATGTTGAGCGATGAACTGGAGAAAAATTTAATACTTTTTTCGACAGTGTTTTCTATGCAACTGAGGAAGGCAACCTATATGTGATTATGCTATATTCTTGCTTTCAGTACTTTGACCTTCAAATCTGACATTCAGTTATAAAAATCTTTTATTCACCTATTTCATTAGACGTCTTGAAAAAATAATGTACCTTTTTTTTTCTTTTTGCTACTTAAGTGTGGTTGTCAAAATGTAGTTTTCTTTTGATGGAAAACCCACTTTTTTTTCTCTATTGTAAACGGTTCAAAAAATTGCAACAAGAAAAGGGAGATTATTAGAATTTTTTAAATATATTATCTTTATTCAGGCCATAATGGATCAGCGCCTGAAGTTGCTTTCAGTTGTTGTCTTCAAAGTCGAAAAAACTGTGCCGCTGGTTCCGAACGCAACTTCCTGCGGTTTCTATCAATATTTTCTTTTGCGCTTAAAGAGTTCCCTAAAATCCTCATTTTTCCATCGCTGTAAAGGGTAGGAACAGAAAAGCTAGACTGCATCAAAGTGTATTAAATTGAAAAAAATGTAATTTCATGACAAAAAACTTCTGAAAAAAAGATACCCAGTAAGAATCTTACAGAAAATAAAAAGAATTTCAGTGAATCACTGCAGAAAACTGTACACTGTGTAACAGAGTCATTAGGTTAATTTTTTATCCTTCAATGACCTGTAGATTAGCGGAACATACGTATCAAAAAAAAGTTACAATCACAAACGTCCGTGTCAAAACTTATACAGAAAAAAAAATTTAGAAAACACAACTGAAACAACAGAATAGCGATGATCACAAACGTATATCAACCAAGAATAACTTTAAAAAAACCTGATCTTTCTTATGGTTTTTCGGCAAATTTACTGGTATCAAACAACAGCTTTATTTTTGTTTACCGAAATATTTGCAACAATTTTAAAGTGATATACTGCATTATCACATAAAGTTAACAAAACTAATTAATAATAAAATAAATGAAAAAACTAAGACTGATAACGACTTCTTTGTTGCACCATTCTGCTGAATATTTGATGCTGTGGTCATAGTTTCGAACTCAACAACTGGTATGCTGCTTGTACTTCCCAGAATATCGATTTTCACTGCCGGTTCCTCAGTCTCACCCGTTGGTTTTGCAACATTTATCACTGCCGTTCCGTTACCGTTTGAACTGTCATTTTCGGTGATCAGGAGCACTGTTGGACTTTCCGTACCTTCGTTGATTGACGACGTTCCATCCACAACTGTTGGAATTCGATCATTTGTTCCAGCTACAGTTGGTGTTTCATCATTTGTGCCATCAGCATTAGGTAAAGGACTAATTTGCGTTTTGAATGTGCTACTGTTGTTACTTAAATCAGTTAGAACTGGTTCTTGATCATCTAAGCTTTCTTCCGTCAAAGATGATTTTGAACCCTTCCTGTCTGTTGCCAAAGTAGGATTTTCCAACGTTTTCACGACTGAAGACGGAACCGTTGCTGACTCAGAAAACTCAGGAAACAGTGTTCCCTCTCTCCCATCCAAGATTTTCTCAAATTCCTTTAATTCGGTAGTTCGATTTTCTAATTTCTCTTGCAATGTCGTCGGTTGTTCGTCTTCTGGCACATCTTCGCTGTCGGCAGTCTCACTAGTGACACTAATACTATCTTCGTAATCGGCTGTTTTGAAAGGCGTGGGGTCAGTAGTTACAAAGTGGTACTGTTCATCACTATCTGACTTTATCGTTGTCGTTTCTTCATTTATGCTTTCATAATCCGGCCATAAACGAGTGTTGGAATCTGCAGTATTCAAGACTTCTGATTTTTCTAGGTTTTCTGTTTGAGGAAGATTTAGTGGATTAGCTGAACCATCCACATACGTATAGATATGTGGTTTCGCATTCGGACTACTAATAGCATAAACAGTTTCACCCCATACAATTTCGGCTGGTGAGGGAGAGGTCTGCAAAACGATAATATTTATTCTAGATATTTAATGCTTGTAGTTAGTGATGTTAAATGGATGAAATGGAAGCGAATATTCATAGAGAAGTACTTAGTAATTGTTTAATGTGTCTTAATGCCATCTTAAAAATAAAATATAATATAAATGGAATAAAAGATGTAAAAATTTTTGATGACATTACGAAACTTCTTTTTGGAAGCTTTGGGTGACAGTTGAAAAATATAATGGAAAAACACTTATATTCAAACTATGATCACCCAAAATATTTCCAGTTTTTTCAGCTTTTCACACACACAAGCATAAAAATTAGATATTAAAGACAAAAAAATGGAACGTTTAAAAAGTAAGATTACCTTTCGTGGGGCCGGCGTCAGAACACGAACAGTTACCGCAGCAGATGAAAAATCTGAGATTGCATAAAATAAAATAACAGCTAGGTAGAGAAGCTGCATTTGACGCATGGTATCAGACGTTTGATGCTGTGACAGTAAAGAAAACAAAAGTTTGATAGAAAAAAATTAAAATTTTTACAAATTAAACAAATTTATTGTATAAAGAAAACTAAACTAGACATTTTTAACTTTTAGTTTCTCCTATATAATATTTGATGTTTTTCAGCGATCATAACCGGTTTTTTTTACTATCAACAGTTCCGAAATTATCAAAGCGAAAATGAGCGTAACGTTCTTCCCGACAGGACAGCAATCATACCCCCCTCCCCTTCCCCCTGCCACCCCCATCTCCTGCTTATTATATTTGAAGCAGAAAATGAGACATGCTTAACAGCTAACTTTAAATTCTGAAAAGAAAAATACTAAGTAAAAATTTTCTAAAATGAATTTTATACGCTTTTTTGCTTAAAAAGAAATTCCATCAGTGCAGAATAGAAAAAATAACTATGGTC